GGAAAATGTATTTCCTGTAAGTCCTCTATATTGGCTCACAGAAACTTATAATGGGAGAATATTTTGAGTCACTTAGAAAGGGAGCCCAACCCTTGGATGTTATGAGAGAGCAAGCCAATCATGGCAGGGCATAGTTTTTGGGTGGACATGGTAAGCAAGAGGCGAGGTCACTATCAGACAAACCCACCCATCCATATAGAGTGTCAAGTATCCCGAGGCTGGACAAAATTCCCAGGTTGACCCTCAGACAAGAAAAATAAAAAAAGTTAGGAAAAGATAAAAGAGAGGAACCAAGGAAAGGCCAAAGAATGGCCCACATCCAACTGCAGATTAACAATATATAATGTAAGATAACAAAATACCAATATCCTAGATGCTAGGTCAAGGACCGAAGGAATCTCCACAAAGGCAAACTATGGGGAGAGTCTTTTAAATAGGGAGTGTGCATAGACTTTTCCCGTGTCCCGGGGTCTACATGTAGCAAACGTAAAAGTTTTAAAGCCACCAGAGTATTTTACCAAAATACATCAACCAGAATCATAAACCAGTTTGCACACAGAGGCCAATGCCCCACAATGTGGCCATTGCGAGGCCTCCGTTAGAATTTAACAAACATTAATAAACTGAGACTTCAAGGCACCGATGTGGTGTTGGAGCAGTGGATTTCTTCCTGGAGGCTGGAGAAAACAGAGGTGATAGTGGGGGGGTCCATTAGTTTTAGGCAGGTTCTGGGAGGAGGGATTAAGGGAGATAAAACCCAAATTCAACAGAAGTCTTTCCCCCTCAGGGAATGTAGAGAGGAAGTAGGATTTGCCATTATAAAGAAATTGCAGACAAAACGGATAGTTCCATCGATAACGAATATCCCTCTGGATCAACGGCGAGAGTAGTGGTTTGAAGGCCCTTCTCTTTTTGATGGGGTAGCCTGAGAGATGTATGTGAAGACTTGAATCCGGTATCCATCGACTTCTAGATCTGGATGTTCCCTAGCATAACACATCACTGACTCTTTGACCCTGAAAAAATGAGGCTTCACTATTATGTCCCAAGGAGGGTTGTCTGGCTACAAAGGGACCAAGACCCTGTGGTTTCGATCTGTTTCCAAATGAATATCAATTGTCGGAACTGGTGCATGAATGAGGGAGCGGGCAATGGATTCAATATCTTTTACCATTTCAGGGAGCCCTCTAATTCTGAAATTGCTCTACCTGGCACAATTCTCAAGATCATCTATTTTATTGTAAGCCTCATCTAAGCGATCCTGTAAGGTGGGAATCATGCTAGAATTCTGAGTCACTCTGGTCTGTATCAACAACTTTAGATTCAAATTTCTCGATGCGATCACCCAATTCCCTAAAATCCTGTTTCAGGTTGGAGAACAATTTAGTGGTAGCTTTATCTAGTTCCCGCTGCAATAAATCACTAATTTGCAATTTAAAAAGCCACGGATGTGGGACATTAACCTCCAATTGGCATTTTAACCCATGTGTGTCACCTTGTGTGTCTGTACCAAGGCCAAACAGTCCAGGGTATGTAAACTTTTGATCAGGGCATTTGGTTGATTTCTGTTATCATTATGATTTAAAAAGGAGCCAAACAACTATTTGATAATAAATGGCTTCATATGATGATCATCCTTCAATAAAAGAGTATATTTTGGCATGATCAGTCATATTTTCAATATCAATGCCAAAATTTCACAATTTCTGCTAGGGTATGCAAACTTTTGAGCACAACTGTATATGTGGTGTTTTCATGTATAGAAGTAGTATAAAAAATTTTTATAGCACCAATGCCTATATATATATATATATATATATATATATATATATATATATAGGAAACTAGAAAAAAAAATAGAAGCAACATTTTTTAATATAAAACTTTTAATTACAAATGTTCAAAACCTTCACAATCTAACACTTCATACAAACCATAAAACAAGACAATTTTGTCTTAGTTAAAATAAATGAAGTCTGGACCTTTCCACAGAACACTGTGAATGTACATCCTGAGGAAGCTGAGTTACGCCTGTGGGCAAAACACGTTCATGTGATGAAGCTGATAGTTTGGAACCTCCCAGTCCACCTTGTAAATGGAGACTTGAAAGCAGACAGCTGATCAGCCTTCACAGGTTGTTTAAACTACTGGTGGGAAATGCTGTGAACCAGAGAAACACACCTCTGAGCTGCAGTTGAAACAGGACAAGCACACCTTGAGGACACAACAGGTGAGCAGTTACACTTGGAGTGGGTGAGAGCTGTGCAAATAACTGTCTGTGTGTGACCAGACCATTAGCTGCTTTGCTTTATGAGCTGTCACAAGTGGTGCCCTGGTCAACATTTCTGTGTACCTTTTTGATCTCCTCCTGAATGCCTGGAACTGGCAATGAGATTCCTGATGGCTTGTGAGCTGCCAGTCAGACTAGCAGTATGTGTTAATTAGAAAGCAGTTATCCGGAGGGGATGAGAGCTATACTAGAAGTATTGTGCTATCCGAGGTTAAATAGCTTGATCGCTCCTTAGTTCTCTTTAACTCACTAGTTTCTGCTTCACTGCTCCTGCTATCTGAAAGTTGTTGACTTTCAGCTTAAGTAACTGTGTTACATAAATATTTACTTTTGTGAGCGTAATAAGATGGACTTTCATTTTGAAGACAATATTTAGTATGCTCTTGTATTTATGCAAGCGGATGAGTGAGTGGTTATCCAGTTATATGTTGATACTTCTCGCTGTGCTTTAATTATCTGTGATTTTGTTTTTCAGCATTATTGATTTCTGCATATCATTGGTGGGTGGAAGAAGTAGTCACAGTGACTCAGACTCTAAGGGAATTAACCCTTGGTGACTGCCTTGTTCTGTGGAAAGGTCCAGACTTCAGTTATTTTAATTAAGACAGCATTGTCTTGTTTTCTAGTTATTCCTATGGTGAAGGAATGTGTTTTTGACATTCAGGGGGGAGGGTTTATATGATTTTGTGAATTTTTGTATTTTCATATTCCAATAAAGAACTAAAATTTTTTCTTAATTTTACCCTGACTTGTGTCTACATGTTGGATTAGTGTCCCTGGGGTGCTTTCCTAGGGGCTGTTATGATTGTTTGTCTTAAAAACACCCCCACCCACACACACACACACACACACACCACACCACACACACACACACACACACACACACACACACTTTTTTCCAGGTGAGCAGGCGGCTACTTATATCATATACATGTTTCCACAGCAAAAAAGTTTCTAATTTTTTCTGGAGAATCAAAGAAAGTACTATCTGTCCCCAAAACCTATATCAAGATTGGCTAGGATGACTGAAAAAACAGCAATTATAAGACAAACTATTACATGTCCAAAAACCTGAAAAAACCCTAGGAATCAAGGGGGGTTACATATATTAAAGGTGCTTGGAGTCAGGTGGTTAAAAAAAAAAAGTGCTGTTTTGTTTTTTCTTTTGTGTTTTTTTACAGGAGCCTGTAAAGCAGTACAGCCACAATCAATGGATCGCGGTTGCAATGTCGGGCTCCTGCATACTCTTCCTCCAGCTCTCTGCCCGTACCTCTGTACAGTATGTTTGAGATCTGGAAGAAGATTCAATGGACCACAAGGCTGTCTGTTGTGGTGGGACTCGTAGTTTATTCGTTCACAGAGCCTTTCTCTGATTTTAAATGTGACAATGGCTGCGAGGGAGAGGAATCCCTACATGCTGTTTGGGGGGTTGGTGGTGAAACATGTAACCTGGTGCAAAACATGAACTTAATCTCTAAAGTCATTGCAAAAGTTGTCACTCTTTACATCTAGAATGAAAAAGATGTAATTTCCAAAGGCTTGTTCATAGTAAGTATACCTACAAAACCAGAGCTCTGGAAAAGTACCCTATAGTCTCTATCATGACAGAAATATTTTTAATAAAACCCACTCGGCTGCTGGAACAATCAATTCTCCCCCTAGACAAATCAATATAAAACACATACCAATGCTTGAATCCCACTAAAAAAAAAGCACCTAAAACATAATAGACATAAAGTGATTAAAGAGAAGATGTAGTGTGAATAAAAAATCATTAATAATATACAATAATATTTCAAGTGTGTAATTAATCGTGCAGTCTTATTAATAGTCTTGTGATGATATATATAATGCACTTCCAAATGTGTTGCCCATGTAAAACACTCTATTGATTGAAACGCCACAGACAATCAAAGTGTATCTACAGTCACGTGATGATATCCTCCTCCCATCATATAATCCACAACTGTGCAGCCTGAACAATTATAATTCACCTCTCATCATCAAATGTATAACCTTATGTTAATAGGGTAGGTTGTAATAATAACAAATGGCCACAAGATGTCCCCCACGTCCTCAGGAATCTGCTCTGCATTCCTCCAGTCTTCTCCTTGGCTCAAAATATATAAAAAAGAGCAAACACCACTCCATAGTGTAGTAAAATATTTAAATAAATTGCACTCCCAAAGATAGAAAAATTAAAGTACGTGCCATCACAGCTTTTTTTTTTGTTTCGTTTTTTGGGTTTTTTTTTTTATTATTTTGGGAAAGGCCCCTATTTCTGAGGGAAAGAACTAGAAGGTTTAATTTTAAAAAAATCATTCTTCTTAATGGGAGGCCATATTGGAGACAGAGGGGTTTATTTACTAAAATTGAAAAGTGCAATATCTGGTGCAACTCTGCATGGAAACCATCTTCCAGGTTTTATTGCCAAAGCCTATTTAACCACCTCCCGCCCGCCATGTAGTCCAATGATGGGCGCAAGTTGGTTCTCTCGTTCTGAGAGGACGTCATATGATGTCCTCCCATTCTCATCGCGCATGCGCGGCTCAGGGAGCGCGCAGCGCGGCGATCGGAGGTGCGCTGTGTCCCTTGGACACAGCGGATCACCGATCACAGAAAGAGCACGCTGACAGCTCGAGAGGGGAGGAGAGCCGGTAATCGGCTTTCCGTGGAGGGGAAATGTACACTGATCATCAGGGCATTGATGATCAGTGTGCCCTGATGATCAGTGTAGCCCCAGCAGTGCCACCTGTCAAAGTCCATCAGTGCCATGTGCCAGTGCCTATCAGTGCCACATCAATGCCACATATCAGTGCATACCAGTGCACATCAATGCCACATATCAGTGCCCATCTGAGCTGCCTTTCAGTGCCACCACCTATCATTGCCAGTCAGTGCCGCCTAACAGTGCCATATATCAGTGCCATGTGTCAGTGCTGCCTTTCAGTGCCCATCAGTGATGCCTGTCAATGCCCATCAGTGCCACCTATCAGTGCCCATCACTGCTGCCTCATTAGCGCACATCAGTGAAGGAGAAAAATCACTTATCTACAAACTTTTATTTTTTGGTTTGTTTAAGAAAAAAAAAAAAACCCGAGCTGATTAAATACCACCAAAAGATAGCCCTGTCTGTCACAAAAAAATGATAAAAATTTCATATGGGTACAGTGTTGCAGTGGGGTATACCATTCAGTGTATGAATCATTAACCATTACTCTTTGAATACGATCTTTTAGCCAGTTTTCTATCCATTTACATACTGATTTTTCCAAGCCCGTAGACTTTACCTTACACATTAGCTGTATGTGGGAACTGTGTCAAACGCTTTTGCCAAATCCAAGTATACCATGTCCACCGCCACCCTTCTGTCCAAGGTTTTGCTCACCCCCTCGTAAAAAGAAATCAGATTTGTTTGACAACTTCTGTCTTTCATGAATCCATGCTGTGTGTTGCTTAAAATATTTTTTTCCAGAAAGAACTCATCTATATGGTCTTTTATTAAACTCTCCAGTATCTTCCATACTATAGAGGTTCAACTAACAGGTGTATAATTACTTGGTAAAGATTGTGACCCCTTTTTAAATATTGGCACCACATTGGCCTTACGCCAATCCAGTGGTACTATGCCAGTCATTAAAGGGTCCCTAAAAATTAGAAACAACAAACAAAATTGAAATGACAGAGCTCAATTCTCTAAGGACCCGTGGGTGTATTCCATCCAGTCCAGGTGCTTTATTCACCTTTATACTGTCTAAATATTTTTGAATCATATCAATTGTGAGCCAATGTGGATCATCTGGAGCTGTGTCAATACCATGCCCTTTATGGACAAGAGCTCCCCCATGCTCTTTTGTATACACAGAGCTGAAGAAGCTTATCACATACCTGGTGATGGAGGCCAATGGAGAGAGGGCTTCCCTTACGGCTAAATTCCGGACTCCCCTGAGTGTGGGACAGCGGGACGTAGTCAGATGGGATAGCTGAGGTCATACACAGAGGAGCGAGAAAGAGAGTATCTGTAAGCCAAGCCGAGGTCAGATCAGGGGTAAAGCACAGTAGACAGGTCCAGCAGCAAGCCAAGTCGGTAACAGGAAATCATGGGTCAAATCACAGGAACCAGGAACAGGGCATGGGGAGCTAGAGATCATCCAGCAACTTGAGAAAGTGATGAGCCTCCTTAAAAAGGCCGTCTGGCACCAAACTGAGGCTGATGTGTACTTCTGCGGCCATACAGAGTACTGGCAGAAATGCCAGATCTTCCAGAACTTCTGCCGTGGACTGGACCCTGACAAAGGTATTAAATAAATTTGCCTTCTCCTTGTCCCCAGTCACCCACTCTAGATTATTTTGTAAAGGGCCTACATGCTCAGACTGAACCTTTTTACTATTAATATATTTGAAGAATTTTTGGGGGTTGGTCCTGCTATCTTTTGCAATCTGTCGTTTGTTTTTTGCGGCCTTTATTTCCTTTTTGTATATTTTGTTATATTCTTTGTAATGTTTAAACAATGACAGCATTTTTATACTTAATAAAAGTTCTTTTCTTATTATCCATAGCCTTTTTAACTTTGGCCGTAAGCCACATAGGTATGATTTTTAGCCTTTTAAACTTGTTGCCCATGGGAATATATTTTGCAGTGTGTTTCACATACAGTCCTTTTGAAGAACTCCCATTTCTGTGTTGTGTTCATCAATGCCAATATTCCCTCCCAGTCTAAGTCTTGGAGAGCAGTTCTCAGCCTTGGAAAATTAGCTCACTTGAAATTGAGTGTTTTCATTTTTCCCATATGTGCTTGCTGTTTACAGCTAACAATAAATGAAATCATGTTAACACAATAAAGTAGTATCATCTTGCATTGATGTAGAAAGCTGGTTACCCAAACACTTACAGACTGCATCACATAAAGAGATAAATAACAGATATTAATGAAGGATTGAGTGAGGGGATTCTGCTAACACACCAGGGAGGGGACGGGCAGAGGCGCCCCGCAGCATTGTCAACCAACGGGGACCACCCAACAGCAGCCAAAAAGAGGACCTGACAGGCATAAGGAAAGCCACATGAAAAAAATCTTTCTGAATGTTGATTGCTAAGCATAGAAAAATGTATAATAAGTATATAGCCCAATCAGGTAGATTGTTGGTGGTAAAAGCTAAGCAGCAATATATACAAAGGTAGATAGAAACAAATGGGAGGTTTCAGACTAAGTAAAAATGGTAAAAAAATATCTGTATAAATCTATATAATATAAAAGGCTCAACAAAAAAGAGGGCATAAACAGATATAGATACAATATATGTCAGCATGCTTACCAATAGTACCTCTGTGTTTTAACCTGGGACCACCTGAAAGTTGTCCGAGAGGAATGCCTGTGACTAGGATCCAATATATATGGTAGTAGCTATGCTTCCGCACCAAATAATAACCTATTAAGTCTATCACCACATCTAGTGAATAATTAAGTAGCCTCTGCCTGTCCCCTCCCTGGTGTGTCAGCAGGAGAATCCCCTCACTCAATCCTTCATTAAGTGTTCTTGCATGGCAAGACCACTTACTGTTATCTCACATATATATTCTTATTATTATAGCCAAATTTACCACCCTAACTCCTCCCACAGTTGTTACACTACATAGACAGTAATATACCGAAACGTGCGGATTGTTCCCGATTGGTTTTCATATTACTTTGTGGAACGTTTCGCTGAATGGTTCATGAAATATCGGCGGTTTTGTGGTGAAATTGGTCCCAGAGGAATGAATGGCGAAATGTTCAAAACTAGAGTGGGAGCTGACAAAAGCTAGAGTGTAAGCTGTAAAATCAGGACATGATTTCTAAACTGCCATCACTCCCTCATTTTCAAGCCCACCTACACAAATCTTATATATATATATATATATATATATATATATATATATACAAAACGTTCAGCTATCCCTGCTGCCACTAAAAATGTCCACAGCTAAGCCATAGTCCTGATAGTTTTCACATTATGACCATTTGTTTGCAACTCATGCCGCCCATTGACTTTTTCACAGTTACTCCAGCCACTCCAACCACACAACAGTTACTCAAGCCACTCCACCCAGTTGCTCCACCCACTCCAGTTGTAGACTACTGGTGGAGGCAAGAACACTTCACACAATTTCCCCAGAAATTGTAGCTTTTCTAGTTAATATCTGTTATTTATCTCTTTATGTGGTGCAATCTGTGAGTAACCAGCTTTCTACATCAATGCAAAATGATACTATGTTATTGTATTGTTTATATATTTTTTCTGATATGTTGTTATGCTTTTAGACCTGACATATTTCTACCCTGAAGAAGGAAATGAAAGTTCCGAAACACGTTGGATTTGTCTGCATACCATCACTGTACAAGCTTGGTTGAGCTGTCTGCCCATTGGCCAGTTGATGTATCACGGATTGTCAGTCTTTATGAACATTGTGTATGATTTGTATGCAATACAGGATTGATTTTGTCATATACCCTTACATTGAATCTTTTGATTCATTTTATTTTTTTTATATGTCCTAATAAATGTTACTGTTTTTATACCATTCCTGCATACTGTACTAAGGTCTGTGCCACTACAATCCCAGGGGAACATTTCTTCTTTTTTAGTCTATGCATATTGGGATGCTGGCAACTACATGTCTATGGTGGGATATTGTACCATATTGTTTGTCTCTATAATTTGTGGGTGTATTTGTTTTTGGGCTACAGCCTACCCTGAACTAGAAGCTTAAAAGGTTATACTGCAGCCCTTAATTGTTGGGTTCCTGGTGCAAACCTTCATGCAGGAGTTAACTACATATACCTGTACCTATTGATTGCTTGTTAAGGCCTGCTGGTTACACCCTCCAAGCTAATATGGTGTTCACCTCTTGGACAGCAGCAGCCTTAATTTACCACAGGGAAGGCTTGGACTTTCTCCCACATGTGTATGGACTAGCTAAACCTACTCATACTTATGTCAGTGGATGGGGGAATTCACTGAGATGCATGACTAAATAGGCAGCCTTAGGATGACTCCTAGTTTGCTCCTTTTCCAAACCAAAGCCTTGTGGTGGAAACTATAATCTATTACTGGTTACCAACAGCTACTACAATGTTGGTGCATTCTCCTTAGATTTCCATCATCCAGGACCCTCCAACGGATGGAAGGATAAAGGATGAGTATCCAGAGTCCAGGCTATACATATGATAGGTGGTGCTATTTGTGGGGTATTTCTTAGACAAATACACCATGATTGGGACTTTATGCTTCGGCAGCATTTGCCCCTGTTTACCAGTTGCACTTCGGAAACACACATTGAAGTTTGTGTTTTTTTCTGTTTGTAGTATTTTCCTGCACATCAGAAATGCACACAACATTGAAGTTTGTGTTCTGTCTGGTTATATTTGTTATATTATTTTAGCTGGCAGTACATCATAAATACACAACATTGAAATAAGTTTTTGTCCTTTCTGTTTATAGGGGTTATATCAGTTTAATATGCTGCACATCAGAAATACACAACATGAATATCTGTTTGTGGCCTTTCTGTTTATATCTGTTATATTACCTTAGCTGGTAGTGCATCAGAATTGCACAACACTGAAGTTTGTCTGTGTCTCTTCTGTTATATGTGTTCTATTACTCTAGCTGCATGTTAGAAATGCATAAGGGTATCAGAAATACACAACACTGTAGTCTATGTCTTTGTTCTATACTGATATATTGCCTTATTTTGTGGCACATCATTATACACAACAGTGAAGGATGAGTTGTGTCTTTTCTGTTTATATTTTATTGCTTTAGCTGAAATACAACAGTTAAGGTTGTTGGTGTCCTTGCTGGGCATATTGGTTATATTGCCTTTCCTTGTTACACATCAGAAATACACAGCATTGAAGGTGTGTCCTTTCTGTTTTATATTTTGTTTTTTTTAATTTAGCTGGTGGCACATCAGAGACACATCACAGGTGTCTTCTCTGATA